AGCATAGTGCAACTTCTGGGACCCATTTTTGTGGCCTCTGAAGCCCTTCAGCTTCTGAAATTATTTAGAAGATATTTCAGCATTATTTAGAGGCACTGTTCCAAAAATCCACAAACACAAGAAAGAATGCAAAAATACCCCATCATGAGAAGCATCTCAGAACCCTGTACTATTCTCAAATACCTCTGTTTTCTTCTCTCTCACCTCCAGTCACCATTTTAAGAGAGACTGGAGAAAAATGGAGATATTTGGCTTGCTGGGTGTGTGGAGTGTGGTGCATGGGGCATGGTTGACCTCCATGCAGTTGCCTGGCCCTGATCTGGACCAACTTAAAAAATCTAAAAACGTACTTATTTCGATTGGCTTTTCCATCTTAGTAATGGTATCTTTCCTCCATGTACCATTCTGTTGACCCCAGATTGTTTCCTTTTGTTCCTCCCTGATATCTTGTGATTTAGCTGATTCCTGTTTCCTTCCTTGGACCGGTTTTTAATCTTTGTATTATATTGGTCTTTTTTAATTTTTGTAAGCCGCTTTGATCTTTTTGGAAAGGCGGGGTAGAAATAAATTTATTATTATTATTATTATTAACTTCATGCCAATGCAGAAGATCCACAGCTGAAGCATTGCTCACAAAAAATGGCCACTCAAAGAAGAATCCACCATCTTCCAAAATAATGCATGTCACTAGCCAGTCTTATCATTAGGAGTTTCTGTTTAATATTTAATGGCTGTGCTGGCTGGAGATTTTGAGTGTTGTAGTCAAAAAACAGAGATCCAGTGTGGCATAGTGGTTTGAGCATTGGACTACAACTCTGGAGAGTAGGGTTTGGCTCAGCCATGAAATCCACTGGGTCAACTTGGGCAAGTCACATTCTCTAAGCTTCAGGGAAAAACAATAGCAAATCCCCTTTGAAAAAACTTGCCAAACAAACCCTGTGATAGATTCCCTTTAGGGTCACCATAAGTCTGAAATGACTTGAAGGCACACAACATACACAGTCCCAAAAGGGAACATTCTCAATGTAATTCAGCTTAAAAAACAACAACTCCAAAACAAATAAAAAAGTGACTAGGAGTTAGCCATTTCTTTATACAAACTGAAAACATGATTTCTCTCCCCCCTCACCCCAACTGTAGAAAAAACTAACACTTTCTGCGGGAAGCTCTGAGTCAGTTTTCTCCCAGCCTGCTCAGGGGATAGGCTAAAAAAATAAATAAATATCATTTTTGTTTCCTTTCTCAATGCAAAGTGACAATAGCCGATCAGCTTGGACTACAAGAGGAAAGGCCTCATCCCCCTTGGCAGGGCACAGGAGACTGACGGAGGTGGAAAGCAATTAACAGAGTTGAAATGGTGCCAGGTTAACCAGGAGAGATGCCTCTGCTCTTCAACAAGAGCTGCAGGCATGGAATAATTAAAATGGGGCACAATCTCACATTTTGATATCTGTATCCCTCCCCCTTCTTGCACACCTTTCCTAGCTGTGTCAGCAGTCAGCAAGCCTCCTGCTGTGCTGATGTACAGCCAGGTAGCCAAAACAGAAAACATTTTCCTGGGGAGTTATGTTTCATCACCTTTTCCTCTGGAAATTCACACCAAAGGTCTTGGCCGGTGCTGTCCCAGATACCAAGTACTTACCAGCTCCTAACAAGGCCTAGTTCTCTTGCTGGAGCTTCAAAGATTCATTGACAGAGGAATGGGTATCCTCTGACGTTTCACCGATGAAAACTGGGACACATGTAGCCAAGCAATATCAGAGTGTGATCAAAATGGCAAACGTTATTGATGAGGAAGAACATACAAACCAGGAGAGGCTGTAGCAGTTTGCATTTGCCAAAGCCATATCACATTATTAAACAAACCTGGCAGGCAAATAAAAAGATACATTTTTTCCCCCTCTCTCCACATTCTCTTCAGATTGTAAAAGTATGGAAGAGTAAGATATTTCAACCTCTCACAAAGAAGCAAACCATTCTTGACAAATTTCCAAACAACCAAGGCTATACAACACACAGCTGGCTTTCCCCTCTTTATTCTTCTTGCAATTAGTGGTGTCTAATATGGAAGGATGACTTGTGATTAGCTTTACATGGTGTTCCCTCTCCCCTTTCCCTCCTGCAGCTCAATGGAGTAATTCAAATCGTCTTGACTGAGACTAAGGGGCTGTACAGACTGGCCAAAAGGGCTGGCATCAGGATGGAGTGGGGGCATAGCAGATGCATGCTGCATGCCCTGACTCTGCTTCTAACCTGCCATCATGCCACATGCCTGACCAGACAGCAGGCAGTGTTGTGGCTCTCCAGTGGCATGACAACTACATGCCAGACACCAAAAAGAACACCAAAAAATGCTGCAGCAATGGCAAGGGCAGCTTTTGCTGCCCTAAAAAGGAGCGGCATTTTGCCAGCTCTTTTTAGAATGGCAAAGCACCAGATTGGGGCTGTGGTGTGAGGTTGCTGCAGCCCCAATTCGGTGAGCAAAGGGGCAGCTTGCCACTGCCCCTTTTGGGTGGTCTGTACAGCCCCTAAAACAATTAAAATGGGGAATATCAGGCTATTTAAGTGATCCTACTGTTGTTGTGTATGCGTATGCGCTATGTCAGGTGCACATGAAATACACATGTGTTCATATATTTTTATGATTTGAAGCTGTAATGGATCTTTTAATGGTGACTGAAGGGTGCCATAAAACATTCAGCTGTCTTTCTCTTCCACAGAGTCTAACAAGAAAAGATGGCCTCTGTTTAGCACTGAATTCCTCCCTCTTCTCCTGAAACCGAATGGAGTAATTCAAATTGCCTTGACTGAGACTCACACATGAGTGACTGAGGCATTGTTACTTTTATCACTTAAGGAAAAAAAAAAAAAAGCCCTGAGTATTGAATTTACCACTGAAGTGCCAGCCCCCTTACTTCTTGTTGGATTTTGCAATGTAAGCATGCTGATCCTTCTAGGAAGACAGAAACATGTCTATGATCTTTTATTGTTTTATGACACCTTCAATTTCCTCCTTCTCTAAGATTGCACACTTCTTTGTCTCTGGAGGAATCACCATTATGTTTCTTCCTTTGTTCCTTTGACCAGGGCAGCATGACTTTCTAGTATGCTGATAAGAAACTTTCTCTGCAAGCATGTAGACTATTTTCTACCTCATTTTCTTTGCAACATGAAGCGTTACCTGTGTATGAATATGCACATGATTTTGTAAGTAAATTTTACCTTTTTATATTAGAATAAGAACTTTTGGCTTAGTTCTTTACTGAAAGACATATGGGGGCTGATGATTAAAAGTGGAGTAGTTTGATTTTTCCTACTCATGCATTTTCTGCTGTGTTCACTTTGCTGGTGAGATTAAATCAATCTCTCCTATTTTCCTGAGCCTTCTAACAAAACTCAAGAAAAAGTCCATCAATTCTTTTGCAGATGAACTATGTGCAAATTCTCATGACTAGGTGGAGCAGGTGCCAAATTTCAGTGCTTGTAAATACTTGAGCAGCATCAAGAAAACCAAAAATCCGTATGTTTAAGGAACAGCAACAAATTTTAGTCACAGATTTCTTTTGATGCAATACTATATTTTTTCAGCCAGGGGGATCTGCGGAGGGGATAGTTCAGGGGTTACCAAAATTGAGGCGGAGGGGGAATCAAGTGACTTTTATGCTGTATTTTTCCTACTTCTGTTATAAAAATGCACAAATATTCTTGCTTTCAGCTGCGAGATGTTGAAGGATATGCTTCCCATCCCTGTATTCTTAAGAATTTTAGCTTCAGGCTTTAAACTATCTCTAACCACTGCTCATAGCTCACCTCTGGGGGTTACATGCACTATGGAAATATATGCAATTAATACTGCAGCAACCGTAATTGCTAATTATTAAGCAATGCAACCTTTGCCCCTCCCCTCCCTTTTTGTGGCCTAATTCTGTAAGGTAAAGCACTATTAAATAACAGGAAAGGGAAGGGAGAAGGAAGGACTGATAAAGAAAAAGTGTATAAACTAATAATAGAGGAAAATAGTAAGGGTGAAGAGGGAGACAAATATATAGGTCAGGAGTAGGGATCATGCAGCTTTCCAGATACCGTTGGACTGCAGTTCCCAGTAGCCTTAGTCATCATGGGCTTTGGTGAAGAACACTGAGAGGTGCAGTTCAGTAACATCTGGAGTGCTACATGATTCCCACCTCTGATGCAACTGAAAGAAAAGCAAGGTTAAAAAAGCATACTGGTGGTTCAAACTGACTAGGAGAAATAGGCCAGAAATGGGAAGGTTTTGAATACTGGAAGATAGAAATTCTGGAATAGGCTCATAAGAACTAGGGTATCCAAATCAAAAGTCCCAAAAGTCCTTTGTTGGAAAAATGTATTGTTAATCTTGGTATTTTTAAAATTTGAATGGCTCTTGTTGTTGATGCTTAAAGTATCATGCTTTATTTTTTAATACATTTTCTTGTTGAATTTATCATGACATTAAAATAGATAAATCAAAAATTCCAACCAATGATAAATTTACATCCCTCTATAGATCTCCTAATTAATTTGTAATATAATGTACCATATTGTCTTATTTCCAAATAAATATTCATTCCAACATTCATACCCTAACACAGTGATGGTGAACCTTTTAGAGACTGAGTGCCCAAACTCAGTGGCATTCCCGCACTGGGTGTCACCGGGTGCCAGAAGTGGGACTTCCAGGGGGCAGGACTGCAGCTGGCCAGAAGTCCAAAACACCCTGCAGAAATAATCCAGTCTAAGACCACTTTGACTGCCCTGGCTCAGTGCTAGGGAATCCTGGGAATTGCAGTTTATTGTGGCACCAGAGCTCTCTGAGTAAATATCTCACCAACCTACAAATCCCATAGCATTCAGCCCTGGCAGTTAAAGCAGCGCTAAACTGGATTATTTCTGCAGTGTGGATGCAGCCCTAATACTAGTGGCTGAATATCACTATTTTAGGATTTTGGATGCTACTGTACTTTGCTATATGGTCAACAAAAGCCAGTGTGGTGTAGTGGTTTGAATGTTGGACTATGACTCAGGAGACCAGGGTTCGATTCCCTGTTCAAGCAAGAAACCCACTGGGTGACTTTGGACAAGTCACACTCTCTCAGCCTCAGGGGATGTCAATGGCCACCCCCTCTGAACAAATCATTCTAAGAAAATCCTATAACAAAATCCTGTTAGCGGTTTGAGTGTTGGACTAGTCTTATGGGAGATGAATTCCCCATGAAGGCACAGTAATCTACCAGGTAACCTTGGGCAAAATCACATTCTCTCAGGTCCAGAAGGTAATGGCAACCCCCTCTGAACAAATCTTGCCATGAAAACCCCGTGATAGGGTCGCCATAAGTTGGAAACTACTTGAAGGCACATAACAACAATAAAAAATGACAATATAAGTACATGATGGCTCCTTCTGACCAGTGGCTAATGAGAATGTGGAGAGGTGGAGCAGAAACAGCCCAATCAGCCGCGTGCCCACAGAGATGGCTCGGTGTGTGCCGCCTGTGCCACCTGTGCCATGGGTTTGCCATCATGGCCCTAAAAAATAATTGACTTCCTAATTCCACCTAACTGAATTATTTAAGTTTCTTTCTTTTTTTACTGTCTTTGTTCTTTGGATCTAATTCCAGTTACTGACCCTAAACATATAAAGAAAAATAAAGAGATCTACAATCATTTCCTTTGTCTTATTTTTCCCTATTTCATTGAATATTGTATCATATTTTATGACATCACCAGAGACTGGACCTGGTGACTGGTACAGATTCCATCCCTATACATCACAACAGGTTGTCTCTTGATCTCAGGTTAGGCCCTAAAATCTCAAGATAAGTTAGAATCAGTTTTGGTGATGATTCAGAGGAAGTGTTTGTTATTGCTAAATTCTGTCCCTAAGATTATTTCCCATTCAGTTTGCTGAAGAAGTCATATCTAAGCCTGCATCTGAAGAAGTAGACCTAGTCTACAAAACTCATCTGCTACAACTTTTTTTGCACAATGAGTTTCAAAGGTGGTACAAGATCCCTTTGCATACTAATGTGTTTTGTTATGATTTACTTCTGTTAATAAGGTATTGTTTTAGAATTTATACATTGGGTGAATTCACACCAACAAAATAATTCAGTTTCAGTGTGCAGTATCCTGCCCTGTTTTGACCCTGTTTTGATAAATGATTTGATATAAAGCCCCTTTCTGGGTTCCTGCCATAGCTCTGGGCTGGGATGAGCCTCTACCACCATGAACTCAAGGCATGCACAAAGGTCATATCTGCATTTACAACAATTTGCAGATCAAAAGGGCCAGGCTTAGGAGCTGTTAAGCAGGATCTTTACACCTAGAGGATTTATGAGTGCCAGCCAAGATGTGTCCGGCTGAAGATGAGATAACATTAACATTCTATCTCCTCTCCTTGGAAATTGTCTACTTCAAAGAGTAGCAATTGGAATCCTTTGATATACAATAGCATCTCTTCGCCTCAGGCTAGGTTTAAGGGTATAAATGCTCCCCAAAATCTCAGGCACATTGGGGTCTGTCTATCCAAGCTAACTACTTTACTCCTGAGTTCTTGTGTTTATGATTGTATGTTAGAGTGTCTTTGTATGTTTGAATCCCCAAATAAATTATAGTTCTTTGGAAAGCTTTGTCTCTATCAGTCTATTCTCTAGTCACCTCCGTAAACATATGATAAAAGATTTCATAAAAGACTTGGATTTTAGTAATTCCCCAGGTTCAGTGTCTTCATTGCAACCCCATTAATGCCACATTCACCGGTTTTAATAGAAACTCAAATTGGCCTTGAAAGCCACACATTTTTCCCATCCAAAATCATATCGATACAAAAGGGCAGAAGGAAAAAGGAAGAGAAGGAAGATGGAGAAACAGTGGCATTGACTAAGGTGGAATGGATGAAATGATGGGGAGATCGGAAGGTGGGAGGCCTAACCTTCAGCCCAACCCATTCAAATGTCTACATATTTGCATGTCTGAAGGTTTTGTAGGGCTTCTGAAATGGAGGTGTTCCCTAAGATATTCAAAAACACTGAACTAAAGCAAAAGTGTTGACAGCACATATGTTGGGCAAGGATGTCAAGCAAAACCTCTTTGGAACACTTCCCACCATGAAATTTGCTCACCCCACATCCACTGGGCTCCAGTTGTGTATGTGTGTTCTGAGGTGTGTTTGAAGAGTATGAAGGAGGTGGTGGTCTTCAACTTTTTTTCCTTCCTGAGCCTTGCAGTACATGCCTGGAGGGCTTCTGGATATGATTGCTGACTGGTGTCTGGGCTGTTGCAGTGTTTGGAGGGGGAAAGAGGACTAAAAGGAGACCAGACTGTGCCCCCCACCTTCCAATATCCTCCCCCCATTTCACCCATTTCTCCCTAGCCAATGCCACTTTCTTTTTTTTTTCTTGTCCCCCTCCCACACTGCATCCCACCACTTTGTCCTCTGCTCTCCATTGTCCTTCTCAATTTTTCTTCTGCTTTTCACAGGCTTTCCTTTGCCTGCAACTAGTGAAGCAGCTGAACATCAACAACTGAAAATGGCAACAACCCACTTGCCAGATGAGGATGCCAAGATAACTTCCCACCAACTGTCTCCCTCTCCAACCATCCTACCCTGCAGTTCCTCCCTGATCCTGACTTGGAGAGCAAAACTCAGTTTTAAAAAAAACCACAACCCGCAACCCCCAGGAGGTAGGAGAAAATGCATGGGGCCTAAACATCCTAAAGACAACAAATCTTGAAGTCGTAGGCTTTCATGGCTGGCATCCATAGTTTTTTCTGGGTTTTTTGGGCTGTGTGGCCATGTTCTAGAAGAGTTTCTTTCTGATGTTTCACTAGCATCTGCCAGTCACAGATGCTGGCAAAACGTCAGAAAGAAACTCTTCTAGAACATGGCCACACAGCCCAAAAAACCCAGAAAAAACTACAACAAATCTTGTCTGATCTTGGAAGCTAAGCAGGGTCAGCCCTGGTTAGTACTTGGATGTGAGACCACCAACAGATATTAGGAGTTGTGGGCTAAAATTCGGAGGAAGGAATTGGCAAAACCGTATTCCTTGCCTAGAAAAACCCTATGAAATTCATGGAGTCACCATAAACCAACAGGCAACTTGAAAGCACAATACATATGCATACAGGAGAAAATGCTCTTGTTGAGCACCAAAGAACAATCTGTGAAAATCTGTCTCAGCTGTCCTGTCCATTTGATTCTTACAAAATGAGACACACAGATGAAAAGCTCTCTCCTATTTACTCTTGGCAGGGGAAGTGTCCATTTCCCTCCTACAGAGACATAAAAGAGAAACCAGCCAGGTTATCAAAATATGAAAGCTGCAGGATGTGTAGGCTGGAAAGCTCTGAATGGTGGTCTCAGATGGCAGAAGGCACCTCTTGTCATACAGCAAGAAGTAAGGGCTAGTGCAGGTATTGGCTCCTCTGTTTTAGTAATGCTTTGATGAAAGATGAAGTGACTTTTCTTACACCTTTGTAAGAAAGGTGTAAGAAAGCTATAATGGAACGGCATGTGGGGAGAATGACCATAATTTTGAAGATTATCGCACTACCCTTAAAACGCATGAAAAAGAGACTTACCTCACCCAAATTGAAGTAAAATTCAGGCTGCATGCAGATGTTATCACACAGATTTCCCCCGAAAAAACACCATCAGAATGCAGCCAAAATTCAGCCTGGCTGACTTAACTCACTTCAGTGGCCATTTTTCTAAGTTGGAAAGTTCCAACTTAGAAAAATGGCTGCCAAAGCGTGTTAAGTCTGCTAGGCTGAATTCAGGCTGCATTCTGATGGTGGTTTTTTGGGAAAAATCCATGTGATAGAATCTGAATGCAGCCCAAATTTTACTTCAGTTCAGGTGAGGTAAGTCTCTTTTTAAATGTGTTTTAAAAGTAGTGTGATAATACCCTAAATTACATTCTGGTTGAATTATTGTAATGTGCTCTACTTGAGGCTGCCTTTGAGGAATGTTTGGAAACTTCGGGGTTAAGCAGACGGGCGGCTGTGGGCCGCCCTGGGAAGCTGCGCCGCGGGACCGAGGCATCCCCATGCCACGATCCTACGGCGCACCTTCGCCGCCCCTGAAAGGCGCGCTAAATTAGTGCTCCTTTCACAAGTCAGTGAAAGTGCGCCACAAAAGGCTGCAGTGCACTTTCGCTGACTTTTCCGCCGCAGCACGTGGAAAGGCTGCGGTGGGAGGTCCTCCTCAGAGCGCTGGCCGTGCGGAGGGCTGGCTGCTCCGAGGACGACCTCGGGAGGAGGATGGGGCGCCGAGCGTGCAGCTGCCCCTCCTCTTCCCTGCCCCCAAGACGGCCTTTTAAGCCGTTTGCTTAGGCCCTTCAACTTCAACTGGTTCAAAGAGCTCCAACCAGATTACTAACAAGTTCTGGCTACAAGGAGCACACAACTCCCTTGTTGCAACAGCTCCACTGGCTACCGGTCCATTTCTGGGCACAATTCATCATGCTAGTTAAGACCTTTAAAGCTCTACATGACAAAGGTCCAGGTTATTTGAAGGACCATATTCTCCCTTATGAACTAGCCCACGCTCTGAGATCTGCTTGGTAAACCCTTCTTTCTGTCTCACCACTTTCACAAATGCATCTGGTGAGAACACAGGAGAGGTCCTTGGTGGCTGCCCCCATTTGAGAGCCGTAAGGGTGTATGGTTTGAGAGTTGGACCAGGGCTCCAGGAAGGCCAGACTTCAAATGCCTGCTCTGCCAAGGAATCTCACTGGGTGACTTTGGATGAGTCTCAGCCTTAGAGGAAAGAAAGGGCAAATTTCCTCTAAAGAAATCTTGCCAAGAAAACCCTAAGATAGGGTTGCCATAAGTCAAAGTTGACTTGAAGACACATAATAACAACAGAAATGGTTACACTTATAGAACTCTGCTTGCATAACCATGGACTTAATATTGCAGTTGCTCAGTGGTCAAAAAAGTTTAAGCACATGTGTAAGGACATTCTGGATGTGTATGGCTCCAACAGGATTCTGGTCTGAGGGTGCATCTCCCTGTAGAAATAATGGAGTTTGACACCACTTTAACTGCC